TCGAGTTTTCTCTATASCTACTTGAAGGAAAACTAATGGAAAAAACTTAATGTTTTTTTATTTTTTATCCTTAGATATAGACACAAAAAAATTTATGATTTTTCAACTTCAAAATTACTWKCAAATTTTGGCGATTTTGAAATATTTCGTAAAAATTTTAACTATTAACGCTTATAAAAAAAAATGTRACTAACGATTTTTGATTTTTTTTTAACTACAATAAGAACAACTCATAAGGAACCTTATATTAAATTTTCAAGTTATTTTGGCAATCCAAAATTTTCCTATTCACATTCCAAAAAAAAATTCTCAGAAAAATCAAAAATTTCAGTGGTCTATAAATAGCTCAAAAAAAATCGAGCTCAAATAAAAAAGATAATTATATGACACTTAAAGATTGCTTGGATGGGAAAAGTTTATCGATAAGACTGACAGTATACCTACGTACTTTATATGTTGGAAATTAGTATCATTAAAGTCTAAAAATAGTAATCTAGCATATATATTGCTATTTTTGGGGGACCTGTGCTAGTGCACCATAGACATAATAATATATTATTATGTCTATGTAGTGCACCGCCTGCACATGCGTAAATCAGAGCCTGGATACAATGTACATTATATTATTATAAACTACATAGTTCGATAGTATTATATATAACAATATTGTATGGTTCGTAATTTAATGTATTATTATGTAAATATAATTAATATAGGTACAAAACTATGCTTTTACACGAATATTTAATAGTGCGCCCTAAATCAGTTAGGGAACGTAGTGAAGACGCGCACTACGGAGTCTAACMKGATTCGTGCACTAGTGCCCCCAGCTCAGTTAGGGTTCGGAWATATGCTCCCGGGTATATTTGAAATGTACGTAAATTGCGGCCTGGGATATTCCGATTTCCTATTGAATACGAGTCAACAGCAGGCGATGCATTCAGCTAGTACCATGGTCTACATGTGTTTTTATTTTTGAAGACATAAAGTCTGTCCAGCCAATCTGCACAAATATATGTGATGTATATATTACTGACATTATAGGTATCCCATCATTATGTTTCAGCTATTTAGTAGGTACGAACTTCAATTAAACTATAAATCACAATAAAATATTTTGAACGCATGCAGTGTAACGTGCTTATTATGTTTCTACAACATATATAGGGGATCGTGAGGATCGATCCTCTGCATGGGCAGTTGGACAGTGTTTCTATGTACGAATATCATATGTACATATTCAATACACGTGTAACAAATTATACAACCGTAATGACCAATAAAATTAAAACGTTTATATTTTATTGATGTTCAATAAAATTCCACCCTCTTCTATGTAGTAAAATCGTAAATATGCCACTGCTATAGAAGCGTGTTATTATCATAATAATAGTATACAACCCTCGAAGAATATTAATTTCTGGTTATCGGTYCGAAAAGCAAACGTATATCCTGTTAAAGATGCTGCGATCGATCATCGACGAAACCATTTAATTATATACATTAGTTTGGTTTGATCATTGTATGTATGCTGGCCAGCCTGGTCCTACGGTAGAGTAAAGTATACCTAAGTAGAATATTATGGTTTATAATTAATATTTCATACTACTGCAGCTATGTAGGTACTTATAATAAACGACTGCATTTAAATAATATGCAATTATTGGCTCCCAAATAAGCGATAAGTGACATACCTACGAGTTGCGAATACAGGTTTTTCTATTCGACTATCCACAAATTGCGTCCCTATTATATCTAATTATAAAATTACATTTTCATAAATCCGTAATTGATATTACTGTACGAGTTTTAGACTAGGTATTATTTATCAAACAGGACTTTGAAACTTCTGAAATAAATTTATGTACTAAAAAACGTAAAAAGACACATATTAACAATACGAAGTCGAAGTCAAATAAATAGTAAAAAAATTTAAAATATGTGAAAATGAAGAATTTTTGAATACACAAATGATTAAATATAAAAATAATTAAAATTATGTTTCATAATTGTAAAGCAATTTTATTTAAATTTTTTCCAGTCCATAAATAATAATTTAATAGGTATAACAACCAAACCTTACCTATATTTATATAAGTTTTGTTGTTTAAACATGAAAATTTTGCATAGCGAACATTTATTTTGTTTCTGTTACCACTTATGAGCAATGAAACATGTTTTCAATAAATATATCCTAGTTTTTGATATGTCAAAAATCACTAAAAACATATTAAGAAAAATTAAATATACAAAAAGATTTGAAAAATAATAATTGTGTTAATAAAATTGTGTTGCTTGTGTGTGAATTATGACAAAATACCACATACAATATTTAGTTTTAACTGATTTTATATGAATTTATAATACATAAAAATGTTGTTAAGTATAATTTGTTTCAATTGTAATTTTATCCTCAAATCATTAATATTTTATTTTTGGTTTACTTACCGGGGGAGTTAAGTATTAAAACTATGCAAATGTAATAGTCAATTTTAAAATACTCTTATTTTTTTGATTGTTTGCAAAAAATGTGTTTAGTAAAAATGTAATGAATATAATGATACTGTAAATAAATCACAGTATTGTATAGATTAATTATTGATATCTAAAAACACAAATCATTACATTTAAAATTATTTTATAAGTATTCCATGATTAATTTATGAGAATATATGAGAATAGCCAATTATTAAATAGTAATATTTATTATTAAAATCAAAACAATATTATTGTATTGTTACATTTATTAAAATCTTAAAAATTATTTTTTGTTAAATTTATTAAAATCTAAATAATTGTTGTACTATACCATATACATAATACAATGCACAATGCTCTCATGCATACCTTCACTAATTCTTAGTTTAATAAACTTAGTTAAATTAAATAATAAAAACATATTATTAAATCATTAATAATATATTATTTAGGTAATGACTAGTAATTTAATACTAGAAAAAGTGGGTGTTTAGGATATCAGGTAAAATTGTATTTTTTCAGTATTTATCTTCAAAAACAATCATAATTAAAAATGTCTCAAATAACAATTCAATAAAAAAAAATAATTATATTCTACCCGCAATGCTTTTCACATGTTTAATAACATTATGTACAACATCAGTACTTTTGGCAGTACCATTTAAATCAGCTGTATGTACCATGTCTTCATTAAGAGTCTTAGATATGGCTGTTCTGATCATTTCACAATGTCTTTTGTGACCCAAGTGTTCTAACATATCAGCAGATGCACTTAACATTGCCACTGGATTTGCAGTGTTGGTTCCTGCAATAGATGAACCAGTGTTTCTGGTACCTGGCTCAAAAACTGCATAATGATCACCATAGTTTCTTCCCGATATTAGGCCAGCACCACCAACAAGACCGCATATTACATTTGACACAATTGAACCATACAAGTTAGGCATAACCATCACATCAAACTGATGAGGATTAGACACCAACTGCATGCAACAGTTGTCAATAATCATGTGTTCAAACTTAATATCTGGGTAATTTAATGACATATTTTTGCAAGTTTCCAAAAATAGTCCATCTGATAATTTCATAATATTGGCTTTGTGAATTGCTGTAACTTTACGGCGACCATTGTTTTTTGCTAATTCAAATGCGTAACGAGCCAACCTTGTAGAATTTTCTATAGTAATAACTTTCATGGATTCGACCACACCTTCGACACTTTCATGTTCTAACATTGCATATTCACCTTCAGTATTTTGACGTATAACAATAACATTAACATTTTTGTGGCGACTCGGTATGTTATTGTATGACTGAACATTTATGACATTCACAAATAAATCAAGTTCGTTACGTATGGCAACATTACGTGAAATGATTGCAGTATCGAGACTGCGTGTTTCAATGTTACCTTTAATACACACRCCGTTTCTACGGATAGACATAATGGCATATTGCAGATCATCATTATTATCACTTTGTGGATCAATTTGAATTGTTTCGAAATCGACAGGTACACCACCGTGTAAAAAGACTTCTTTTACATAACTCATCAGCTCTGGCCCAATGCCTCCACCTGGCAACATAGTGACTGCATTTCTTCCTCCATATCTATAATTAATAAATACTATAAAAACTGACTGAAAACAACAAMAACTCTAAGTATTGGATTTCAATTCAACAGTTTTAGGTTCCCCCAATCCAACAATGTCATACAATAATGATTACTGACAATAAAAGATTAAAYCGAAGCATTCAGTTATCATACTACGATTGTTAATATATTGATCGTACACGACTTGAACTGGAAATTACCTGGCTCTGGGCAATCCAACTTGTCTTCGAGCCTGGGGATGCTTATGTTGGATATCGAAATTGACCGACGACAGCTGGCGAACGGTATGCGAACCTGCTTTTTTAGGCAAAGTACACTTTGAAAAAATAGCCAACATATTGGATAACCTTACACGGTCGACTTGAAAAAAAAAGTAATAGTCTACAGCTAGTATAAATTGTCTTTGAACACTCAAAAAAATAAAGTAAAATGAAACTTTTAGAGGTTTAAAAAATGTTCGCACTTCGTACGAGGATCCAGCTGTTTAGTCGTTTAATGTTTTTATAATTTTTTAATGATAACAGTAGTCAACAACCTGTRATAATCAATACTATAAGATAATACTATCACAGATAGTGAGTTATTATATTGCAACTTGCAAGTATATTATTATATAATTTATTTTCGGTATTTATTATCTTGTAGATACTCGGTAAAACAATTTAACTGTTGCATTAAGCATTTCTAAATAAATTTGAATTTCGATTATATTAATGAGATTCGAAATAAATTATGTGTATATTTAAATTGAATACCTATCATACTTATTAATTATAACCTACTTAATATCTTAAAATTCATTTGACACATAATTTAGATTTTAAAATTCAAATATGTTCGATTTTTGTTGAATAGCTTTTTATGTTATTTACACAAACATTATTTAGTATTTACCAATATAATTATCATGTTTATAAATGGAATTTATTTTATTTGTCTATATATTTTGTCTATCTCTCAGAAACTCGGTTAGTTTATTTTTCCTTAAACAATTGATAATTATATTAAGAGATCATACTGTTAGCCAAAATAATGTTGTTACAGAAACTTCGGAAATAGTTATTACAATTTTGAGTCAAAAAAACGACTACAACATAGAACAAGCACTCAGATTAAAAAATAATATTTTGAAGCAAACAAAATCAATTGAAGTCAGTACAATATGTATAATTTATTGCATAACTAATTAATTGTTTAAATTACCTGATTAAATATCTTAAATATTTTGAATTTGGTACGAAACCTTGATGAAATTGTTAACCATTTAGGAGCCACGGTTAGGTCGAGTATATATGCTTCATGAACAATTTCCAGGACCTGGAAGTTGGACTATTATCCCAATTATAAAAATGTAAGAAACTAAGAAATTTGTGCCAAATTATTTATATTTTTTGATTTGTATTTTTTGTTTTAATATTTAGATTATACAAAAATAATAAACATGCAAAGTGGTTTTTATTTTGTGAAGAAAACGCTTATGTGAATTATGACAATTTACAATTGTTTTTGAAAAACAAGAACTCTAATGAAGTAAGTATAAATAACTGTAGCATTCATTCTAATTAACTCAAAACCAATATAGCTAACTAATAATTGTTTTCCGTTATTTTATTCTTATTAAATTAATTTACTTCATATAAATATACTGTTTTAATATTAGTTAAAGATGACAATCCAGCTAGATTTCTCTTATCCAACTAATTGTCTTGATGTTAACATCAATCATTATTAAATTATGAATAGGTATTTACATAGTTTTTTGCAGTATATTATATAATTTATCTATTTTTATGACATTCTATAGTCTGTATGGATGGGATATGGTGTTAAAGATAAACATCCTACAATAATTCATCATTATGCATTTGAAGAAAATGAAGATAAAAGGGTTTCTTACCCGTTGTTTGCTGCAGGATTTGTAATGTCTGCTGAACTATTAAAAAAGTTTGTTTAAATTTGCTTTGTATAAATTTTTGATGTACAATTTACTTTTTATGAAATGTTTATAGTATTGCAAATTCAAATGTAGACACTTTGAGTTCAGATTTTTCAATTGATGCATCTTATGAGTTATCATTAGCAATTAATCAAAAAATGCAGCATCTACCTTTGAAGTTTTGTTTGAAACTTTCACCAGATTGCATTGTTCATCCTTTGTCTGATAGGAGTGAATGTGTAAGTATATATAATGTACATGTATTTGAATACCTATCATAAAAACAATTATTTTGATTGAAAGACACGTTATGGAAAAGTGACAAAAGATTCGATATATTTTGCTGTGAAAACTTGCAGTAAATTTCATTCAGACAGAGTTCCAGTGTTACAATCTACTTGGGGCCGAGATGCTGTGCACATTGAATATTTTAGTGATAAACTTGGTATTTAATAAGCTGTTAATTATGCATTTTTTTTTTTAATTTTTAATATTTCAGATGATACTATACCAACTACTGTATTAGATGTACCAAATACTGAAAGAGGACATTGTCTTAAGACCATCACAATTTTCAAATACTTATCTAAAAAGCTTTTGTCAAATAAAGCTGTGAAATGGATTGCATTAACAGACGATGATACGCTTTTAAGGTGGTACAATTGCACAATAAATTATACAAAAATTTATCCAACATTCCAATTTAAACATTTAGTGTTCCTCGGTTAGCATCAATACTGAGTTGCTGGAATGGTCAGCAAATTGCACTTGGTCAAAGATACGGTTATAATATTCGAGGAGATCAGTCTTTAGGATACAATTATCTAACAGGTGGAGGAGGTATTATATTTCATGTTGCATTAGTGCATAAATTGACCACTTGTCAATGTTATGCACTTGATGCACCCGATGATATGGTATTAGGCATGTGTTTGAAAGCTTTAAATGCTACAGTGGTCCATTCTCCAGTATTCCATCAAGTTCAGTAATTATGAACCATAGATATACTGTTGTTTCATACCTTTAACTTTTTTATAGGCTAGACCACAAGATTATGCTGACGAGTATTTGGAATCTTATCCAATGGTTTCTTTCCATAAACATTGGATGATAGATCCGATAGAAGTTTATCGTCATTGGCTTTATCAAGATTCTTCTTTTGGGCACAATGAGCTTTAGGGTAATACATTTATAAACACAAATAAATATAAAACCAGTTTTTTTTTAAACAAAAATACAGATAAAAATAATAATACTTAATAGTTATTTAAATGAAAAGAACCTTTGACATAAAATAAAAAAAAAAAAACTTAAACAAAACTAGGCAAATTCACAAGTCCAATAGTTTAATTCTGCATCCATATATCTTTAA